ATCTCGGTTGTGAAAATATTTCCAAATACTAGGCACAATCTATGTGTATGGAATAGTACTAGGTGTCTTTCAAAGTTTTACTATGTGAGTGAAATTTGCTTGCAACTACTTTTAGGGCCGTGTCATGTTTTGCGGTTCGGTTTACAGTTCGAGCATGAGGAAATAAGTATCGATAATGAATCGCTTGATCGATACGTATCTGCTCCGCACTTGAACTGCACACCGAACTGCTAGTATGACCCAACCCTTTGCAAGAGTAAGTTGTAAGAAACCACAACGTTTGTCAAGCATTGATGAGCACTTCATTCGTAGGTACGAATTTGAGCTAAGGAAGTCAGAAGTTAAGAATTTTAGAAGTTTTAGGACGAAGCTTGTTTGAAAAGTAACTATCAGTTTTCTCTAATAATGTTTATGAGTAACTTATAAGTACTCCAGAAGGCACTGTAGCGTTTATTAGCGGATATCTGGATAAATACAATCACCTAGAGAAAGCATCGATTCTCAAATTCGAGAAATCTGACTGAATATTCATGCAGATTTCATCTTGCTTTCTTCGACAGGAAGAACTTGAGATATATCCATAGGTTTTTCAGAAGTTAGGTGTTTTCTTCATAATGTCTTTAGGACTTCAACAACCATTTTGAAAAATATCGTTTTCCAGCAAGCTGATGATTAAAAATTACTTACACAAGCTCCATAATTGTCTCGCCTGCTTGAACGTCTTAAATGTTTTGAACCTTCATATTCTTATTCATCTTATGGTTAGTGATTGATCCTTCCGCATGTCCAGAAACAATGTGACTTATTGTTTCTTGCAACCGCTCTATCTGAGATACATGGATGTCAAGCTAAAGAGTTACTCTATAAAGAACCTCAAAAACTTCGCCTTTGCCTAGCACTTCGTTGCAGTTCGAGTGTGGAATAGATACCTATCGATCGCGAGATTGCTAACGACCCCGAAGACTCGCTCAGCGAATCCCTGGATTCGCGGAGTCTGACACCGGCCTTACCTATTCCGTACACGAACATAGAAACGGTCGCAAAGCATAACCGCACACTAAGAATTCCCGGGTCTTTAGCGGCTGCTGTGTCCGCTGAGCTTTCATCGACATGTCGACAAACTTCTGTTACATTTTTTGAGATCGTAACAAGGATTCGATCGTACCTGATTCAAGGAATCTTCAGATCTGCATGCGTGCGTGGCGTATCTCAAAAGGGATTGGTAATTTGTATTGTGTGGGAGTTTGGGAATTGAACGAATGTTGGAAGCGCTTTGGGTAGGGTATGCAAAGTTTACAAGTAACCGGCTCTACATAATTGTCAAAATGTGTGTCAGTGTCAAAATTTACCTTTGCTAGTAGCAAATAAATACAAAGCAAGGAGTAAAATGAGAGGGGAACGGTATGAAAGAAGCGGATAACCTTTAGGACACGATAATTTAAATTGATGTATTTATTCTGAAGATTCACAGTACGAAACCATAACTCATGTGAAAGCTCTAGTTGTAGGAAGTTTCTTCGAGAAGCTATCCTATTCAAAAGAGCCGCGTACACGATTACCGCGCTCCAGTGTGAATTTACGATGGCGTCCTTCAATTATGATCGTGTCCATACATTTACAATCCTCCTTTGTTTCTCCTCTGTCGGAATTGCTAAAGATTTCTTTCTGTCTTTCGGTTCCAACCTCTGTTGCACACTCTTCAGAATGATTTCTGTGAATGTACGAAATGTTCTGAGATATTTTCGTCATGGGGATTCAACGCAGGCGTTCAATTAAGAAGGCAACGCTTTTTAACGAGTGCGAACGGCGTGGGCCCTCAATTTCAT